TTTACGCTTTCTGTACTCTGTGCTTGTCTTCATTTCATCATGATGACTATGCTTGTGTTCTGTTATGTTTACTTTTGAGTACTTATTCCGCTGCAAGTAGTTCTTCATTTAGGAATTTCCTCACCGGCAAATTCCTTAGTGAAGAATTCATAAAAATCGCCTATTCACCCCCCCTCTAGTCGATATAATGCACTTTCAAGCGGTGAATAGGAAATTTCCTTTTTGACCTCCCAGATAGTTCCCCAAGAGGAAAGGCCAGGGTGAACTCTGACTTGGCCCATAGGGCCAGTTAATTGTTAGTCTTTTTCCCAGAAAATGCCATCAACAAAAATTAGAAAACGAAAAACACCACAAAAGTTGCCACATTTCTAGTCATCATCCTTGTGTGCATAAAAAAATATAGGACGCGTCTAGTGGGCGGCCGGCTGCTCACTAGCGCGATCCAGCGGCCGGCTAAATAAGGTAAGTATGTGTCCCCTTCACGTTTAGAAAAAAGGAAACGAAGGAAACAACCACCCGTTCCACCCGATCGAGCCCCACTCGCACTAGTGCCTGTTTGGTCAGCCGCTGCATGCATGCGTCTGGTGCCTGCATGCCATGCATTAAATGTTCCTCATGTTTGTCCTTTATGTATTAGTTTTTGGTTTTCAAAATTATAAAAGAGATATCTTCTAAACCGCGTGTCGAAATTCAGATCTGTTTTCACCGTTGAAACCCTCGCGACGTGCTCTTTAAAAGTAGATTCCGCATGGAGATGTTTCGACAAACTAGTCTTCCTGCCAACTAATCATCAATATGTGTGCAACTAGACTACATTGTTGCGCCAACTAAGCATATGTGTGTGCCAATAGTCCTGACAACTAAACATCAATGTGTGGGCAAACTAGACTACATTGTCGTGCCAACTGAGCATATGTGTGTGTCCATTGTCCTGCCAACTAAACAACAATATATGTGCAACTAGATTAAATTACAAGCCAACTGAGCATGTGTGTGTGCAACTAGTCTTCTCTGCCAACTAAACATCGATGTGTGTACAACTAGACTATATCACAAGCCAACTAAACATCAATATGTGTGCAACTAGACTAAATTACAAGCCAACTGAGCATGTGTGTGCAACTAGTATTCTCTACCAACTAAACATCAATGTGTGTGTAACTAGAATATATTACAAGCCAACTAAATATTAATCTGTGTGCAACTAGACTAAGTTACAAGCCAACTGAGCATATATGTGTGCAGCTAGTCTTCTCTACCATCCACGAATAAGGAGGAGGGTTGCACAGTGACTACTGGGTAGTTGGTCGGGACAATAGATTAATTGCACATCAAAGTTTTCATGGTTGCTAGACTACAACCTTGTGGAAGTTGAATCATGTAGATCCAAAAATTGATTTTTGAAAAAGTTGCACAATGTAGTACTAAAGTTGCACAATACAATACTAAAGTTGCACCATATAGCACGAAAGTTGGCATCGAAAAAATTTCATCAAAACATATCCATGTGAGATCTACTATCAAAGATCTCGTCACGAGAAATCCAACGGTGAAGACGGATCTGAATTTCAACACATAGTTTGAAAGATATGGCTATTTAAAAATTTAAAAACCCGAAACAAATACACGTGGATCTGTTTTGTCCTTCACATGTTACAAATCTAACCGCATTTAATGCTAATAATCACATGCACTACTAGACAAACGCATGAATGCATGAACGCGAGTGACCGAGCGGCCGCTCGTCCTCTCCAACAAGCGCACGCACACTTTTTAGATTTCAAGAAAAATATAATGTGGTAGCACTAAAAAAACAAAAATGTCATCTCTTAATATAAAAATGCCAACATAGGAAATGCTCTCTTAATATAAAAATGCCATCTCTTAATAAAAAAACTTGACTTCTGAAATCTTTTTGCCATGTGAAATATTAAAAAAATAAACTGCCATCTTAATTTCTTCTAGAAAAATGCCATCTTAGTTAAAAAAATGGTAAAAAGGAGGACTTGGGATTCGAACTAGGGTCCTCCATGTGCAAGACCACACCACTAGACAGTGTGGTGCGCAGGTTATTTGGAAAAGTGGAACATTCGCCGGGTTTCACTCATACACCGAACTAGTTTCAAAATCTGGCGTGGCGTCGACCCTGCGCTGAGATCCGTGCAACAGCGGGGAGGGCGTTCGTTGAAGTAGTCAAATATCTAACGGACGCCAAATAACATTTCCCAGCCTTTAATGTTCTGCGATAGTAAGCATTGTAAGAGTTAAACCGCTGCATTTTTAGAAACAAAATTGTTTCGGTGCCTGAAGTGGTCGCCAAAATCAGAAACAATATAGAGTTGGGAAGTTGGCAGGGGCCAAGTGTTTTGAGCACCCTTTTGGGGCTGATGTAGCGAGAAGTTAGGCTTAGCTAGTAGGGCCTCACGGCCATGACACTATTTCTTTCATTCCACTGGTCACTTGACCGATCTTATATTCCACTCTTCTATGCTAAATCAATGAATGCCAATAACATGTTGGGTCTTTAAAAATGAAGAGTTGAACAACTATTTGATCGCTCGTCAGTGGAGCTCATCTTTGCTAATATCAAGGAGTTGGCGTCGTTCTTCTCATATAAATCATTTGTCGAATGTGGCAGCGCATATTCTAACTAGATCCTCTGAGTTCTCTAATGACTCTATTTTTCATGCAAGCCCGGATTGTATCCGGGAGACACTCTTTCTTGATTATACTTGATCAATAAAACATGATATTTGTAACAAACGAACCTCAAGAATTGATATACTACTACTAAAAATCAATCTTGGCTGTAGTTTCTCCTCTCCACAACAATCACTACAAGGCTCATTCACAATTCACAAGGCAATATTAACTCTCACACGCCCGTAAAAACTACTCATCGTCTCTAGACCCCTCGTCATCTCGCGTCGCCCCCCTCGCGGGCGACACGGGGGGCCAGCCTCCGCCGCCGCCAGAGACCCTCCCCACGCCCCGTCCTCCCCTCCGCCGCCGCAGGTAGTCGGCGTCGGGCAAAGCCCGTGCGTGCGACGCGGTGGCGGAGGGCCTCTCCCCTCTCCCTCGGATCCATGGGTGGCCCGGGCACCCAGATCTGCAAAGGTGCGGCCCCCACTTTGGCCCATGGCGGCGCAGCGTCCCAGCGGCGGCGGCTGTGGTGGTGCCGGTGGGAATCGGTCGGATGCACAGGGGGCGGCGGTGGCCGGGGCGGTGTCCCCATGGCTGGGTGGCGGCGCGCCCGTTGGTCCGACCGGTTCTGGCTCGTCCCGGATCTGGTGACCACCGGACGACGCGGGGGGTGGCGGCGGCCCGACGTGGCCGGCGATCTGGACACGGTGGTGCCGGCGGCTCGCCGGTCTGCCGGAGATCCAGGAGTATCATCGTCTCCGACTCGATCTGCTCCGGTTCGTGCTAGCTCTGGTACAGGGAGATTGTCGTCATCTCCCGGTGCTGACTGCATGGATCTGGCGGCGGCTGCTGGATCCTTTTGATCTAGTCTCCGACAGAGAAGACGGCGGTCTGTGCACAAGAAGCTGGATGGAGTTCTTCGAACAGATCTGGGTGAAAACCTGCTCTTGGCTAGATGCCAAAGCCGGCGATGGTGGCGTTCACGACGTCGTTCCCTTCTTGAAGGCATCGCAGTGGAGAAGTTCTAGACTACTATCTGCTACCTCCGGGGAAAACCCTAGATCGACAGATCAGAAGACACCGACACGTTTGTGTCGTTTCCCCCTTGGGGGTGTCTTTCTTGGAGGTGTACGCGGGCTCGAGGGACCAGTGGACGACGTCTTTGGTGAAGCGGTGCTTCATCATGCACATGGATGGTGGCAGATCTCGATGGCATGTCGCCCTGGAGATTAGGAGTTTGATGTGCGATGATGGACTCGCACAGGAGGTCGACGCTGTCTGGCGTCGTGGTGTCATCGGCGGCAGCTAGACCGGGCAAGATCGATGTAGCAGTACAACTCTGAAGATAGACTAGTGGCAAGTGGCTGCGGCGGCCTCATACCCGGCAGGTGTCCTGGTTGAGGAACACGCCGGACTGATGGGTGCCCATATCCGGCAGGCGTCCTGGTTGGGACCTCAGGTCTTAGATGTTAAGTCTGGCTACGATGTCTGTTTGGTATTAGGCCAAGGCTATCAGCGTCCCTTCATCAATTGGATAGGTGTAGCGACAGTTGTTGCTTAAACGGTGGCTTTAGTCTTACTGTTGTATGACTTTGTAAGGTCTTGTGAGAATAATTAATAAAGTGGCCGTATGCATCGTCCAGATGCAGAGGCCGGGGTCCTCCTCTTTTTCTAAAAAAAAACAAACAATCACTACAGTGTACATTGCACAACTCAACTCAAATGTGGCTCCTCCCTCCCCCAATGCCCCAATGTAATAAATGTAAAAAACAAAAATTCTCTCTCTTTCCCTCCCTCTCTCTCTCTTCACTGCGTGCGGCCCCGCGTGGGCCCATCGGGCAGGTTTTTTCTTTCCTAATGAGGAAAGAAAGCAGGCAGGCAGGCAATAGGTGAAGAGAGCACACAATGCGGGACGGACGGGGTGCGCGGTGTTCTCCCCTGCCCTCGCCAAAGAAAAAGCTTGCTTTTCAGTGCTCGGTCTGTCAACCAGCAGACTGGCAAAGACCAACCCACCACGACTTCTCGTCGTCCTCCTCCTCTTTCGTGGTTACGGGGTTCGGAAGGGGGGCGCATTTGGATTTGGGTTTCCTCCTAGTCCTCTCTCGGCGGCCATCGTCCTAACGATCCCGGTGAGAAAGATCCCCGGCCGCTACAAATGCATTATCTGTATGCCTGTTCTTCATCTTCTTGTGTAGCTTCTCTTCCATTGCCATGCTCTCACCGGACCAGTTTATTTCCGCAGTTGAGGCGCCGCCTGCGAGTTTCGTCCGTTTACCGCCACCCTCCAAACCGTCCCAAGGCCGCGACAAGATCTCCTCTACGGCGATCTTCTCCTCCCGATCCTCCCCCCGCTGGCGATGGTAACGGGAATCCTCCCTCCATTCTCTTTGTTCGCCGGCCGCGGCCGTCTGTACCTTTGCGATCAACTTCACCGTACACTTTGGGTGCCCAATTGTTACCTGCATCTGCATGCGTTTCCGCCGCGAGCTCACCTAGCTCTGCCTTCTTTTTGCCAACAGGAAAATCCTCTCTGTTGTTGCCCGGCTCCACAATATTGCTCTGAAAATTCTTAGTGGGCATATATTTATGAAAGCCTGTCCTTTTTAGGCTCCTTCACTGATATATACATTCTTAAAAAGATTGACTTGACCAAGCTACTTAAAATTTGCAGCATTACAGTATTCTAATTGTCATATCCTGTCTGTCTTTTAATATTAATATCATCTGCCATTCCTCCTGTGAGCCAATCCATGCATTGAGCCAAATAATTTCCTTCCGCTGAGTTAGATTTGTTTTCTTGTTCTTACATCATTTTGGCAACGTAACTCTCTATAGTGATGCTTGAGTGATAAGAAACTACTTTTCATTTCCTTTGCTGAGTTATATTTGTAAGCTACTATTATTTCTTACTCCTTTCGTCCCAAAATAAATGTCTTTAATTTTAGTACATGTACTTGTACTAAATCAAAGACGATTATTTTGGGACGGAGGGAGTACATAGCTTGAGTGCCTTTGTATTTTATCATTTGTTTGTATTGTTGACATTGTCCTGCTTTTACTGCTTCACAGTTTTATTTGTGCTTTTAATTAAGTGAAATGGTTTTATTGTTGATTATACGAAACATTGTTTAATCGTGGTTTTGAATCTGTGTAAAGAGGTTGATAAGTAGATGATATTTTGTGATGACCGGCAGCCATTTATGATTTCCTAAACATGGTCTCGCTGTTTGATTTGCATAACAGGTTAACGTTATGATGAAGACCAATCCTGACCCAGTGGTTCTAGCTAAAGCCATGAAAGCTAGAAAAAGCGTTGTGCAAATCTATCACGTCAAGAAAATTGATGGGAAGAAGTGCACCACTAGCTCCGGCACTGGTTTCATCATCAAGACCAGAGATGCAGATTGTGTTGTGGTAACTAACAGGCACGTGACTGCTGGAAAGGAACCTTTCGACGAAGCTAATGACAAGCTCTTTGTTAGATTTATCCGTGGGAGTGGTGGAGTTGAGGACCGATCTGGTCTTCTAAGGTTTTATGACTTCTTCGTGGACCTTGCTTTTATTGAAGTCCAAGGACTGAGGGGGAAAATGCCACCAGCTCTACGTTTTACTATGGCAAGTGAATTGCAAATTGGGACAAGTGTTGTTGCCATTGGCTACTGCAATACAAGTGGCGTGACACGGCCAGATCCAGATATGCCTGAAGTTTATGCTAGGATTCCATCGGTTTGCCCTGCATTGATTGCGTGAGTACGCTATTCGCTTAACTCGCAATCTTTCAACTTGTATATGAATCATCCTACGAATCATCCTTTCTCTTCATTTTGTAGTGGACCAGTGTGGCGAAAGGGAGAAGATGACAAGGATGAGGAAGAGGAAGACGATGAAGAAGAAGACGAGGATGAAGGGCACGAACAGTGGCTGCACCTTGACTCTCCATCGAGGGATGGATGCTCAGGAGGCCCTGTGATGTGCGCGCGTGGTGTCATTGGAGTCGTTGCTCAGGCTGCCCTACAGATTACTGCGTCCGTTAGCACTGAATCAGTACATGAAGTGCTGAAACGGTGGCTCGGCATTCCATTGGAGGTAAACACACTACTGCCTCGTAGGATTTTAAAAATTGGGTACTGCTCCATATTTTACTTACGTACTAGCATTTTTTTACCTTTTCAGGATGACAGGAGTGTGCAGGCGATCATCGATACATTACTGTGATCGCGCCTTGACGGCTGCTACTTCGCTGTGGAGTCAGGCTGTGAACTGTGAACTTTGACATGTTCGCCTTTTCAAGGGCATACCGTGTCATTTTGTTCTCCATGAGAAACCAGAAGAAGCAAATGTACTGTTTATGTACAAACGTGTGACGTTTTTGGAGTAAATTTGTCTAAAACCCCAAGACCCCAACACATAGATGCCTATTAACTATGTACCGTGTTGTGTCCTACAGTTTACTAGGTTGTCGATGCCGGGTGTTGCCGTGCCGGTCAACTTAGATGCTTTAGACACTTACTAGCAAATATGCCCGTGCGTTGCAACGGAAGACAAAAAAAATTATGCGCTAGCCAAATAAGTATGACTCAAGACTCTGATATATGAGAGTACTATATTTTAAACGGTGGCTCGCCATTTGGCCACTTGCTTTTTTCTCACCTTAGCCAATGATGGCCGCGATGTCCACGCTGATCACAATGCATTCGACGCGATAAATCACAAGGCTATGAACTGGCTAGTGCATGCCACACTTATCTTTATGTTGCACAAGGGAATGTTTAAAACTTTAAAAACAAATCTCATCGACCACAAACTACTCCCAATGCCAAGACATATAAAGACTTTCAAAAAACTAATCAAATCCTAGACATAAAAGATTTTTGAATCGGTGAACAGTTTTTCTGATCGACAAACACTTTTTTTTAAAAAAAATTAGATTTTCTCTAAGAAAAATCACGAACATTATTTTTGTTTACAAACAATTTTTAAATGCATTAATAGTTTTTTAATTCTTTAACATTTCTTGACTAAACAAACTTTTTTTTGAATGGATGAACTTTTTTACATTTGGGAACATATTTTAAATATTTTAGTTCTGTGAACATTTTGTAAAATTTCATGGACAATTTTTTTCAGATCCCCGAATATGTTTTGAATACACGATCATTTTTTTCAAATTCGTGAATGTGATTTTATTTGCCGGTCTTTTTTCCAAATCATGAATTTTTTTATAATTTGCGAACAGTTTTGCAAAATCACCAATTTTTTTTGAATCTGCAAAAAGATTATGATTTCCTAATTTTTTTGAATTCATGTATATTTTATAATTTACCGAACATTTTTTTAAAACTCGCAACATTTTAAATTTAAAAATCCCAAATTAATTGAAGGACGGAAGAAAACAGAATAAGAAAAAAAAGACAAAAAACCGAAACGGAAAAAAAGGGGAGTGAAGCCCCGCACATGGGCCGGTCCATTAACGCATACATGGGGGTGGATGCGTGAGAAAAGGGATCGAACCTTGGTCTGCTTGCTAGAGGAGCTACGCTTTATCCACTCTGCTTTGCCACAAATAAAAAAAAAACCACTCTGCTGCTTGTGGATCTGTGGCTTGTATTTGTATCACATCTTTAAAACGAGGTAAACGTTTAGATACGGCGTACCGGCCGAAACTTCGGCCGGCTCCTGCCTCGTCACGCATAACACACGCGCATATAGCCACGTCTTCCTGATATGGGGCCCGTGCATCTTATCCATCCCTTCCTGCGTCGTTCCCGCGCAGCCCGCGCGCGCCTGCGAGCCGCGCTCCCACACGAGCCCCGTCGCTCGGCCCCGCCGTCTCGCCGGCCGGTCGCCGGAGGCCGCCGCCGCCGCGCGGGTCTCAACCCAATCCACTGTTTTTTCCAGCTGCTCAGGGCGCCGACGGCGAGAATCAACGGGATGAGCTAGTACCTCGACCGACAGCCATGGCGGTGGGAGCACACAGATGCTACAACCGGCTGGGGAGGGAGCTGCAACCGCGTACTGTTTTTGCTGGAACCAGCAACGGTGGCGAGCTGCGAGATTCACCCCGACGAGCTGTTGGAATCACCCCGACAAGTTGGACTAGGAGTGGGCGGTGTGATGCTGCAACCAGGGATCGGGATTGCTGGAACCAGCACAGTGTTTGGCTGGAAGTAGAACCCAAACATGCTTCCATCAAAGCCGTTCTTTGCTGGACAAGCAATTTTTTGCTACATCCGACATCTTTTTTTGCTACATCCGACATCGCTTTTTGCTAGAACCAGTCGACTGTCCGCTGCGAACGGCAACGCGGCAGAAGCTGCAACCAGGGTGAAGAAATGCTACAACTGATGTATAAATTTGCTACTAGCGACATATTTTTTTGCTGGAACCAGTCAAGTGTCTAGATTCCACCCAAGATAAAATGTTTGAACCGTTTGGAAAAGCTTCATCCGACTAGAGGAAAAGCTTCAGAGCGGCATGAGGAGAAATCTTCCACTGCGGAAAAAAGGCTTCAATGGTAGGAAAAGCTTCAAGCGGCAGTGGAAAAGCTTCAACTCACGGAAGGAAAAGCTTCAAGAGGTAATGACAAGAAAAGCTTCAACCGGGGGAGCCGGGCGACGAGGGCCGCAACCGGGGGCGAGGCCGGTGATTGGCTGCGACGAGGACGGCGACCGGGGGAGAGGACGGCGACCTGGAGGCTACGAGGATGGCGACCGGCGGCGAGCTGGTGATACTTCAAGGTCAGCCTCGCAGCGTCCATGGCGCGTGGATGAAGGGCGTGTTGACGTATAATGTGCTGCCTAGTCTCTTTCATCAGATCGGTCTTTTGGTTGCATTGGCTAGAGCTTGCACTACTACATGATATTAGAGCGGTTAGTCTCACGACGCCGATCCTGGGTTCCTCTACCACTTCCGCAGCACGCCTCTTCCGGAGAGATTAATCTTCTCTCCTCGGGGGTGCGGCACCCGATTAATCAAAGATTTGATCGGTCTCATAGTTTTAGATCCAATTTTCGAGTTCATCATCATTAGATTGATTCCTTAGATTAGATCAACTTCAAATTTCGAAACTCAAGTAGATTGATTTTTCTTTAGCCACAAATAAATCCCATGGTGCTCAAAATCCGGTGAAATCGGTGCAGAAATCGCAGCAGGGGCATCGAGCACTCTCCATCGACTCTCTGGCGGCTACGTGCGCGATCAGCGGCCGCGCATATAGATCTCGCCTGAGACGCTGGTCGCCGGAGCCAGCAGCGCTTCGAGGATTTCCACCGCGTCCGACCTCGACGGATGACACATCACCGAGTTCAAATCATCAACTTCACGGGCAACACGACACCAGCATCTGACCTGCTCCCCGGGCGCCACGGACATCGACAGCAGCAGAGCTCTACGTGCCCGCCCCCACGGCCTCGATGCCAAGCAACACACATCAACGCCTCGAACCAGCAGCATCTTCAGGTGAGCGTACGCACGCGTACGGCTGTAGCCGCGCCGTACGCCTCGCCGCTGGACCGATTCAAGGCATCCATGCGGCCAGCATACATGTAGCCGCTTCTACGAGGAAGCTTCATACATGCGGCCAGCATCATGCAAGACCGATACTCCATATCAGGGAACCAACATCGGTCACGAGCCGTCCGAGCAAGCTTCATAGAGCACCCGAGGCCTCCACCGAGCGAACCAACGATCTGCACCGAGCCGGCAACCTGCACTGAGTTCCGCACCACGCACACCGAGCCGACGCAGCGAACCTGCATCAAGCCACCGATCTGCTCCAAATATTCTTCGTCGAGCCGAATCACTGCACCAACCTGTACGACTACGCCGGGCTATGAGCCAACATACTTCTTCAGCACGGCTCGGCATCGACACCTCGTCGCCGCGGAGGGACGCCTTCCAGCGACGCATCATCGTTGACATGCCGCTGCAACGTCATCGACGACACTTCATCGCCAAGGTCTTCATCAACATCGTCTTCACCAACATCTTCGTCAACACACCGCCGCCGGCTCGTTCACAAGATGGGCACCTAGCGTCCTCTGACAGACTTTTCTGCAAGACGCGACCTCGACGACGGCAATGACCGCGTCACGGCGATGGCATCGACCGCGTCATCCACGACGGCACGACTGCATCGACATGGCGTCACTATAGTGACGACCCCTACACGGCCACACGGTTCTGGCAAAACTGATGTGTGCTTGATGGGTTTCCTCCGGTCTTGGCAAAACAGGTGGACTCATCACCGACGGCACCCTCTGACATCTGCAAGGTGCATTGTCCATGACTGCAGCTCCGTCATCTACAACATCGCGCAACTTTTTGCGCCTCTAGCTTTGTGCGGCTTCATCACCCACGACTATCTTGACCACGACTACGTCACATGATCGGCTACCTCAACATTAACATTAATGGCTACGTCTACAGCAACTCATCAGCAACAACTCCAGTCAACAACGTCCACGTCGTCACTAGCGTCCACGCCACTCCCGCTGTGACTGCGGGAGAGAATAGAGGAGAAGGCAGGAAGGCACCAGAAGGGGACGCAGTCATCGCCCTAGGTGCCGACCCATCAGAGACGCAGTTGATGATGGCACGACGGAGAAGACGACGAAAGCACAAGATTTCAAATTCAGTCGTCATCGTCCGCTTCACTCCCGCTACGACTGAGGGGGAATGTTAGAAGTATAATTATGTTTAAGCTAGAGATTAGGAGTTAGAGATAGGATTGGTTTAAACCATGTACGGCTTGTCCCCTACTCCAAGTCTCTCTCACATATTGTACTCTATATATATCCCACACCTGGGTCAGATCAATACGACAACACATAAATATTCATCCATCCAGTATTTTCTACATGGTATCGGAGCCAATAGGTCTCGAGTTCAAGACGCGGCTGGCGCAATTAAATTGCAGCCCACTTTCGGTCCACGTTTAGGCCTGAGGGAGCCACACATGAGGGGGAGTGTTGACGTATAATATGCTGCCTAGTCTCTTTCATCAGATCGGTCTTTTGGTTGCATTGGCTAGAGCATGCACTTCTCCTCTATTGGGCGTTGTTGCCGTTCGCGCGCGCGAGGAAGGGGGGCGAGGGCCGCGACCGGGGGTGAGGATGGCGACCGGGCGGCGACGAGGACGGCGACCGGGGGCGAGGACGCCGACCTGGTGGCGACCAGGACGGCGACTGGCAGCGAGCTGGCGATACTTCAAGGTC